TGGATGAGGCCAAATCTGAGTCAGATCTCCTGGGACTGGAGTTAGAGGTAGTTGTGAGCTGCTGTGTGGGTTCTGGGAATTGAACTCTGGTTCTTTTGAAAAGCCACCCATGCTCTTATGTAGAAGTAACCGTCTTATTAAATAAGAAACACAGAGTCAATGCAGAGATGAAAGCCCAAGAGGTTAGAGCTAAGAGCCTTACCTGTCACTGATGAAGCTATCCTCTTCAGCCAAGAGACCTACTTCCTGTGTGTGTGTCTTTATATAGACTTTCTGTTCTGCCTTCTCATTGGTTGTAAACCCAACCACATGACTGCCTCGTCACTGCCTGTCTGTACAGACCTCCAGGTCTTCTATGGTTGGTGTTGAGATTAAAGGTGTGTGTCTCCAATGCTGGCTGTATCCTTGAACACACAGAGATCTACCTAGCTCTGCCTACCAAGTACTGGGATTAAAGGCGTGCACCACCATCGCCCAGCTTTTGCTATGGCTCTAATAGCTCTGACCCCCGGGCAACTTTATTTATTAACATACAAATCACATTTTAGTACAAATAAAATATCACCATACTCTTAACCATGCATCCATCTCTCCAGAGCCTAATTTTTATTTTTATTTTTTGCTGGTCTGAAACTACGTAGCCCAGACTGGCCTCAAATTCACAATGGCCCTCCATGTGCTGGGATTACAGGTGTGTGTCACTATCCCTGGCTCTGCCAATTGAAGACCCTCCCCTTGGCTCCCCAAGAGGCTGCCTCATTTAGATATTCCCAAAGAAGAGGGAAAAGGAAACATGAATTACAGAACAATGAAAAATGTTTCACCAACACGGAAGAAATGACTTTAAAAGACATTTTGATGATGGCTTTCATTCCAGCAGACACACAGTGTATCTCTTTTTCTGTGTGAGTGGTTTAACACTAGCCATTTCTGAATGGAGAGACATTGTCTTTTGAGCTTGTGTTAGACAAAGATGTGAAGGTATATTCGATGAAGGTGATAAACTTAGTCTGCACATAAAAGAAGCACTCTTTTCATCAGTAGAAAATTACTTGCTTTTCATTCTAGCTATGTCAATGTGAATTCAACAGTCAAATAATGGCCCACAGGTGCACTAAATCACCTCCCTGCACCATGCTGTCACACCTTTTATTCCAGGCTGGACTTCTTCTGCTTCTCACTTCCTTCTTGGACCATTTCTTCCCTGCCTTTTATTCTCTGTGAGAAATCCTCATGTCACACATAGCACCGCTGAGAATGTCGTGACGTGTTAATGCTGCTGTTTTTGTCTAAGAACTCACAACCCCAAACCCTGTAGCAAATGCCCTTTGCTGGTGACAGCCACCGGTTCATGTTAGTGCTGCTGTCTAGACAACGGTCTACAGGGTGGTTCTCAATCTGTGGGTCACGACGACATTGGGGGCCACCTATCAGATATCCAGCATATCAGATGCTCACTTTGTGATTCCTAACTGTAGCAAAATTGCAGTTATGAAGTAGCAACGAAATCACTTTACGGTTGAGGGCCACCACAACATGAGGAACTATATCAAAGGGTCGCAACATCAGGAGGGTTGAGAACCACTGGCCTGGAGCCATGGGATGATGACTCTGGGTCTCCAATAAGGACTGTGAGCCTCTTGAGTTCCTTTTCAGGGTGTTGGTAGCTGACAGCATTTTTGAGGGCTTTCATTCATTTGGACACCCTGGACGGATGGAAATCACAGTCCTGGGGCTCTTTCAGGACGTGGAGAGGGATTGGTGCTGTGTCATATGCTATCTGGCAGCATTTCATTTCATAGTACTGGTGTATTTTTCCTGGGGTTTATTTATTTCAGTCCAGTGTCATGTTCCTGAAGATGGATCCATCTACCACACAGCCAGCATGAGTTGATCTAAATCGCTTGTCACTTTTAAGAACCTCTTTTTTTTTTTTTTTTTTTTTTTTTGATACAGTATCTTATTTATGTCTAGACCGGCCTCAAACTCTTGATCATTCTCCCCTAGCCTCCCAAGTGCTAGCGTTATAGGTATGTACCACTATGCCCAGCTAAAGCATAATGTTCCCCCCTCCACTTCTTTTTGTGTGTGTGTCTGTGGTCTAAGTGTATGTACTTGTTCAAATGTATGTATTTAGGTGCACATGCCTGTGCATGTGGGGCTGAATACCAGAGGTCTGTGCTGTGTATCTTTCTCAATTATCATTTTCTTATTTGTGTGTATGTGTGTGACATATGTGTGGGTATCTTTCTCAATTATCATTTTGTTATTTGTGTGTATATGTGTGACATATATGTGTGTGTGCGCCCACGTGCACATGCGTCTTCAAGAGTGCATGAGCGCAGGCTGATGCATGAGCATATGCATATGTGTATGCAGGCCAGAGGTCAACATCAGGCGTCTCCATTGCTCTCTACCTCTTTTTTTTTTTTTTGAGACAGGCTCTCTCACTGAACGTGGAGCTCAGCAATTCAGTTAGACTGGCTGGCCAGTGAGCCCACGGGATCCACCTGTCTCTGCCTCCTCAGCTCTGGGGTCACAGACAGGAGCCACCACACTAAGCTTTTTACAGGGCTGCCTGGGATCTGAACTCAGGTCCTCATGCTCACGTCTCAAGCACTCTACTTACTGAGCCAATTTCCTTGCCCTAAAGCAAACAATGAATTTTGGCAAATTTGTAGATTTCTGTAGCCATCCCAGTGATCCGGTTTTAGAGTACCTCAATTATATCCCAAACTTCCTTCTCGTTTCTCCTCAAACTTCACCTCACTCCCATCTCTGTCCCCAGGCAAATGTCTCTGATAGTCCTTACTGGGATTTCGATATAAATGGAGCCATGCAACAGTGCCTTTACTCCAACTTCTTTAAAACTAACACGATGTCTTTGGAGTTCATTCCTGTGACTGCATGTGTCGATAATTTGTTCACAAGCTCTGAGGACCAACAGCATCAACATCACCTAGAGCTTGTCTGAAACGTATAGTCATGCTGAGGATGGAGGACAGTGGTAGAGTACTCGCTTGGCATGCACAAGGCCCTGGGTTCAGCTTTCAGCATGAAAGGGGGAAGCAGGGTACAGAATCTAAGTTCCATCCAGAGACTACAGTAAGTACACAAGCAGATCTGCCCATGGATACTAAAGCATGTGTGGATCCTACAATGTTGTTAAGATAGCAAAAATCTGGACATATAACTCAGCCGCTAGAGTGCTTGCCTTGAATGCCTGAAGTCCTGGATTCTATCCTCAGCACTGCATCAACCAAGCATGGTAGTCATGCCTGCAATCCTAGCACTTGGGCAATGGGAGTGGGAAAATCAGAAGTTCAAGGTTATCTTTAGCTACATAGGGAGCTGGAGGCCAACATGAGCTACATGAGACCATGTCAAAACAAAACAAACAAAATACAATTTTTTTTTTTTTTTTTTTTTTTTTTTTTTTTAGCTCCCCAGGTGATTAACAAGCACTTTCAGGGTGGCGCAGTTCTGGTCTAGCCTTGTGCTTTGAAGATGCCTCAGCAAACGCCCAGCCATATGTCCATTCAGGCTCTGCCTAGTAATTCTAGGACAGAGAGCCACAGCTCATCAACGGGACAGGTGACAGCACTCCCTGTCCTTCTCTTTAGCTAAGGGTGGTTGGGGAGGCAAGTGGGCCTAAGTAGATAAATTGCTGTGCAATTTGCAAGGGCAGGTCACCTGCTCCAGCTGCCCTTTAAAACTGCTCAGCTTTAGAGCAGATTGATTGCTTAAGAGGTTTGGATGGAGCGTGCTGACTTTCTGTATGATTGTGTGTCTGCCTGGCCTCGTTCTGCAGTCCATGTCTGTTTAGGTATGTGGTGAGCACACGCGATGCAAATGAACCACCATCACTTCTGATGCCGGGGTGGGGGTGGGGAGCTCCTGCGTAGCATGGCGAACAAGCCAATGAGAACAGTGCCTTAGCACACAACAGCATCACCAGGAAGGAGTCCTGGACAGTTTGGAGGCCCCACCCCCAAAGCTTTTGATTTCAGTTTATGGGATCCCAACCGACAATCTACATTGCTAGGAATTCCCAGATGATTCAAACTGAGAATGATCAGAAATTGTAGTTTCAAAGGCACTGTAGCTCCGTCAGAACTGCCTCCTCAATTTTACTTGATCAAGTGCTTTGATGATGGTAGTTTAAAGCACTCCAGCCCAGGGACACCCCGGGACAAAGTGAAGAGAGAAGCAATCTGACATATTCTGAGATCAGTTTTAAGCTCCTGTGTTCCAATCTTACCGTCTGAGCTGCTGCAAAGCAATACCATTTGCCTCTTTCTCATGCTCTGAGTCTCTGTTGTGATGGTGAATAGTTGCGGTGACAACTATGTTTGATCTGTAGTGTGCTTTTAAGGATAAGACCTCAGGCAACCTAGGCTGCCTTCAAACTTGCTATTAGCTAAGGCTGCCACTGAGCCCCTGATCCTCCTGCCTCCACCTTCCCTGTGCTGGTTTACAGTTGGGCACCATCCTAGCCTGCTGCTGTGCTGTTTGAGTTTGAAATCTCAGTTGCCTTCCGGCTGGTGGCCCTACCAATACAGGAGAGACACTGAGTGTACAGGCTGTGTGGTGACCTTCCAGTTCTCAAGTCCTGGGTCCGGCTGGCCATGGACGCTACCCCTCACATTTATGTCTTCACTGCCTGGCAGGTGCCGACCCACCCAGGGTTACTTAATCGCTGCTATCCCCCTGCCCCAATGCTTAGTGATCTGGCACATCTGGTTGGAGTTCCTTTGGACAGACTGTTTTTTACCTGTGGCAGCAGCTCAGGGTAGTGATCTGCTGTGACCTTCCTGGGGCCTCTGGTCTACAGCTTGCCAGCAGACTGCTGGGTGATGGCGGCTTCCTGCCAGGAGAAACCGGGACTGCACTTTATTCCATAATTAAGTAGACAGGATTTACATCATCAGAGTACCTGGCCTGTCTGACTCCATTTCATATTATTCAAAACAGAGACTTGGAACTTTATATATTTTTTTTATAAAAAATTTATTGAGATGATGTAATTATAGGCTTTTCTTTAAAAATTATTTGCAACTCACTGGCCCTGAGAAAAGGCATATTTTTTTGTTTTTTTTCTTTTTTGTTACATTCATTTGATTCAGTCCCTTATAAACCCCACACCTCATAAACAAGAGATTAGAAACTAAACAACAACAACAAAAATTCATCCTAGATTCATCTGGTTTGCAGGTGGGTGCAGTCGCAAAGAGAAATCTTCACAAGTGTTCACTTGCGAGGGCGAGCGAGAGGCCGGAGTTTCGCAGTTGTTTAGTGTTGACGCGGACGGGGCCGAAGAATACTGGGTTCGTTCTCTGTGCCTTGCTGACGGGCAGGATTCCGGGTGTCCCTCTGCGCTCCTGCCCCACTGGCTGTCTGGGTCACTCAATTTAGGTTTCTGTTCAGAAGAGGAGCAGGCAGAGCTCCATCTAGCACCGAATGACTGGGCAGTGAAAGCCACCCTGTGCATCTTTAGTTTCTTTGCTGGGGATGGATGAAACAGGGGTTGAAACCAGGATACTTTCTCACTGCATCCTAACCACTTAGGTTGGATCCCGATCCTAACTCTGTCTGTGTCACACTGTCTGCTCGCAGGGTAAGTGACATGACCTCTCTCAGGTTCTCTTCTGCCAACAACAGTGGATGTGCCAAAATGTGTTCACGGTTGGATCCTGGACAGTGTGAGAAGACACAGGGGCCACTCAGTCCTCTCACAGCCATCCAGATGTCAGCCGAAGTGACGTTTTATCTGGACCAGGTTAGTGTGAAAAGACGCTGGGTCAGAGGGTTCTGAGCTAGGGAGAGGAGAAGCCCCTCAGCCTGCAGCCTGTTTTGTTGTTTCCTTATGAGGGCCCTTCTCCTTAAAAAGGGGGGGTGGATATGGAACATCGGTGACACTGCCTTTGGTCCTCACCAAGTTGCCCTGGATCAAGAAGGTCTGAGAGAAGTTACTGTCAACATCTAACCAGCTACCACTGGTGGAGACCTGAGGACAGCCTGGCCAAGGACACAGGACAGAGAATTCCAGGACCTAAGTGACAATGCCCACCCTCCACATAGCAATGCTTTCTTGCAAATTCCTTTTCTGACCCAACCCATGAGAGCCACAGAGAAAGGCCACCTATTCATCTGACACAGGAGATTTTAGTTTGGTTCCATCACCTCTTGAACTTAATGTTGAGCTAGAAGATCACGGTGGATGGGGGTAAAAAAAAAGGAAAACCAAAAAAACCAAAAAACCCCAAAAGCTCCTGTAGTGGTGTTCCCTCCAAGGTGTGATCGACTAAATCTGAACCCTCTGGGTCTCCAGCCTGAGAGCACTGCACCCTGGTGACAACACCAGCCATGTCTTCTCTCTAACCAAAAACCAAATGAGGATGTTTGCAGTTAAGAGAAGCAAAGTAAATCCATACTGTGACCACTGCGTGGGAAACAAAGATGTGTCGCCACAGTGAGCATTTCTAATGTAAGTGGCTGAAGCTGTCATCCTGGGCCTCACATACTTTCACATGTTTTTAATCCAGGGCTCCTTAGGGAACAAAGGAATTTCCTTCTACAGCTCATCTGGAAGATTCTTTGGACAGTTAGAGACTGGGTTCTACATGTGGGCAAAGTGGCCGGAATGAGGTGTCTTAGTCTCTCATTTCATAGTCATACACAGGACCTCAGTCAAAACAAAAACCAAATAACCCACCCTTTCTCTCTAGCTCAACCCAGGGGCTTAAACAATGTAAGAATTTGGCTTAATCTCCCCACGTGAGATAAGGTACCAGTCGTTTTAGAGGCCAAGAAAAAATAAATATCCCCTGTTTTCAAGAAACATAGCATGTGACTCTCATCACCACCCATGAATACTAAGCCCAACCCCTCACCCAGAAGGTCACTGACCTCTTGGAAGGTAGATGGGGTGGGACTTGGGAGTCACAGAAAGACTAAAGGAGCCTGATCAACTCATTTCCAGTGTCTGAACCACAGTCTGTCTACACGTCTGTGTGCTGATATCTGCTGAGTTAGGCCCAGAGAGACATGCCTGGTACTCCTAGTCTCTATGTGCTCCACGTAGGGACAGCTGGAGGGCAGCTCTGGTCTGTCAGCTTCACCTGTGTACGGCTTCTGGTCAAGTACACACACACCCAGGAGGGCTGGGAGATGCTCACTTGATGGTGTGGAAGAGACAGAGAAAAGACAGGGTGGTTTATAAGGCAGGCCTCATCACCTGGGTTTAAAAACACTGCAGTTCAAAGAGTCCATGTAGATGGCTAAAAAAGGGTCGGGGGAAAGCCGGGCATGATGGTGCATACCTTCAATCCCAGCACTTGGGAGGCAGAGGCAGACAGATCTTTGAGTTCAAAGCCAGCCTGGCCTATAAAGCAAGCTCCAGGACAGCCAGGGCTACACAGTGAAACCCTGTCTTGAAAAACCAACAAAACAAAACAACAAAACCCAAATCCCCCCCACTAAAACAGCTGTCTAAAAATCTCTGCTATCAAAAGTCCTAAGGCATAGCATTACCCTCATCTTGGAAGATACTACCGACCTTATGTCGAGGTGAAAAAAAAAAAAAAGCCACAAATATGTCTTCTGGAAACACAGCAATGACAGGAGGAAAAACGAATGAATCTGAGGAATTTCCTGTCTCTGCTGGTTGTGCAAATACCGGCTGGGCCGAGTCTGCACTCCAGGATCCTCCCTTGTGTGTGTTCTGTGCTCAGTGAGGACCAGTAAAGAGAAACGACAAAAAAGGCTAGGACTTGGAGCAGGGGTGGCCGCAACCCCACAAGGGCAAGGTGTCTTGGGAATGGAACCGAGAGCTCTGCTTCCTCACCAGCCTTGACAACCTGTTCCTCACTGCAGAGCAGCTCTGCCTACTTCCGGGACCACCGGGCCGGGGTGAGCCTCTCGGACTTTTCCACTCTGCAGCACTTTCAGGAGAGTCCCAAGCGGCCAGGGCCTTCGAAATCATTTGGCCAACCTCTGGCCCATCTTATGACCAGACCTCCCACTGATCTTTCTGGAATACAGCAGCATTTGTGAGGTGTTTGGCCTTCCTCCCATGGGTGCCCAAGGGGTCTGGTTGTGTGATGACGGCCACAGAACCGCTGGGTCAGTGCTTGGTTTAGGTGCCAGGGAGGCTAGGTCTGCTAAAAGGCATGTGACGCAGCACAGCGGGCAGAGGAGGAGGAAAGAGAGGGACAGGATGAGTGAGAGAAGGGAGGCAGGAGGAAGACGAGGGAACTCTCTCTTTCATTTTTGAAAGTTTCTCTCTCTCTCTCTCTTTTTTTTCTCATCCAAGACCTGACTGCAGCAGGACAGACCTGATCCATGTGACAGGAAAAAGAGGAGCCAGATCCCTTCTGCAAGTCTCTTTCCTGACCAGCTGAGCTGGCCGTACTTTGTGAGATTTGCAAAAAAGAAAAAAAAAATTAATATATATATATAATAGATATATTTCCATAGGAAAGCAACATGTGATGTCTTCCCCTGTATGAACAATGAATAGTCAAACTGCATGTTCTTAAAAAAAAAAAAAAAAAACAAACCCAGAAAAACAAAAACAGAAACATCATGAGACTAACGGCAGGTGCAGGGTGAGGGTGAGGCGTTACAGACAAGAGGTCCGAAGGAGAAGCAAATGTGACGTGAGTCTCAGGCTTGTGCCCTCCGCCAGAATTCCAGCCCGCCATTGCTGGGTGGTTTGTCTAAGGTGCTCTGGGTCCCTCCCGGTCTGCAAGAAAAGCATTCCTGCCATTCCTGGGCCTCTTCTTTCTTAGCCATCCCCAGCTCGCCTGCTCCATCACGCCTCCAGCGGTCCTTGTGGGCAGGTTTTCTCTTGGCCAGCCGGTGAGGCCGTGGTGGGTCCCCTTAGCATTCATCCTCTTGGTACGCTTGTTCATCCAGCTCCTGAGACTCAAGGTGCTCTAGACGGTCTGTCCGGCCACTCATGATTTCATCTGGGGTTTTCATGAACCTTTAAGCAGGAAATAAAAGAGTCAAGAGACTGTAATCCCAAAGACGTCCTCCCTCTCTACTCCAACCCTTAGAGCAACATGCACGGAGCTGGGGACCCACTGAACCTAGACACTGGTGCTACCTCAGCACAGGTTAGGGAAAGGTTCCTTTCTTACCTGTCTGAAAGGTGACAAAATGACATGACAAGGTGAGGGGACCATGAGAAGACAGCACCTTTTGGTGCTAGGAGCGTCTTATAGCTGGATTGCACAAAGGGGCCTGGGTATTGCTCACTTGTCTGTTCCTTAGTTTTAAAGACATGTGTGTGTGTGTGTGTGTGTGTGTGTGTGTGTGTGTGTGTGTGTGTGTGCGTGCACGCGTGTGTGCGTGTGGTTATGTACACATGTGTGGATGCGTCCCGTGCAGGGAACCGAGAGGACATCATGTGCCACTCTGTCACTTTCTGCCTAAGGCCTATGAGACAGCACCTGGAGCTAGGCTGGTGGTCAACAAGCCCCAGGGACCCACCCGTCTCTGCTCTCCACAGAGCTGGGGTTACAGGGGTGTGCACAGTCTCACTCGGCTTTGTATGTGAGTGCTGGAGATTTGAACTCGGGTCCTCATGCTGTGCAAGCAAGCCCTCTTGCCCAATGGAGCCTTCTCTTCAACCCTGGAGAGATGTTTACAAAGACCCAAAAGAGTCCTACATCTACTTCCACTCCAGTCTGAGAGCCCAGGGAATAGTATTCAAAACCTGAATTTAACTCAAAGGATGCTATTAGATGTTACTGGATACTTTCGATCAACGGGCAGCTTAGGGAAGGAAGCTTCTCGAAATTAGAAAAGCAAGAACAATCCTTTTTTTCCCCCACCACCTATCCGAACTGCCAGAAATGACTTCCCTTCAGCATGTCCCCTTCCTTTGTAGCTGGAGTGTACAGCAAGCCTCACATTCTTGGTCACTGTGTGTCACTTGGAATAGCACCAGTGTCATGGTCTGACTACGGTCTGCACAGCGCAGGGAGGAAGCCTGGGTGCAAACGTCCTGTCTTTCCCTGTGAGTGCGGTGCGGGGATGAGGCTTTCCTCAGCCTCCACGGTGTCTGCACTTTTCCCTTGTCCTATGCTCTGCCCTGTACCTGTGAGCTACCTTCAAACACACTTTCCCTATCATCACTCCACCAAGTCAGAGATGCAGTCTTTGACCCATCTGCCGTTGCCCCCCCCAAGACACACTTATTTTTCCACTGTTCACTTCCGTTAACCCCCCACTCCTGTCGGCTCGTCCTGACAGAAACTACAGCTCACGTCTTTTTGCAAATTTTCAGCATTGTTCCGATCTGGAACTTTCTGGACTCCTTCCAGAGGTGTTTACCGGCATGAGTCCACCCTGCAGTCTACCTACCCACCCTGAAGCACACTGCCACACCTCACTTCACTCTGTTACATAGAGAGTCATATACCAGTAAGCCATCGTTTTGTACCGTTTGGCTTCCAACACGCTTTTCCTCAGAAAAGGCTCCTCTCTTCCTCTCTACCAGCACTCTTCGTGTCTCTTGCTCAAAGCCTCTCAGTGGGGACTGGAGGACCTTCCACGCCTACTGCCATTCCCTTCTGCTCCAGCCTTCTGGGCTCCCCAAGCGGCGCATGTCACAGTGGCTGCCTGTCTTCTACTTTCACATTCTCGCTAAAACGTCTCCCTCAGCATCTGAAGAAGCTAAAGCTCCTCCCAGGCCAACTTTATAGACACACCGTACTTGGCCTTCAAAACTGCCCCTCCTTCAGGCTCCTGTGCCATGGTAAGCTTCTGATATTTCATACCAACGTTTACTGAAACTCTCACTAATGTATACACCAAGTTAAATAGATCAGAAGGCTCTGCCTCCTAGGAGCTTATGGTTTAGTTGTGGGGAGGAAGCTTTCCCACATATTATTTTTTAAATAGACTATTTATTTTCAATTTTAGATGCACTGGTATTTTGCCTGCATGTGTGTCTGTGTGAGGGTGTTGGATCCCCTAGAACTGGAGTTACAGACAGTTGTGAGCTGCCATGTGGGTGCTGGAAACTGAACTCGGGTCCTCTGGAAGAACAGTCAGTGCTCTTAACCACTGAACCATTTCTTCAGCACACATATTATTAAACTATACTATTCGCAATTACTAAAGATGTTTTAAAGACTTATTTTTATATATGTTATGTGTCCTGCCTGAGTTTACGTGTGCCATGTGCACGCAGGAGCCTGAAGAGGCCAGAACAGGGCATCAGATACCCTTGTACTGGAGTTACATGTGGTTGTGAGCCATCATGTGGGTGTTGGGAACTGAACCTGGGTCTTTTGCAAAAGCAGTAATTACTCTTAGCTGCTGAGCCATCTTTCCAGGGCCATACATACTATTAAAAACGAACCTCATGGTGTGCCTGAGGACAAAGGGAACTCAGAGATGGGGGAAGCGGACATCTGTGTGTGACTGAGCAGCCGCAGAGGACCCTGAAAAGGACAGTCAACTTGAGGCAGCCTTGGAGGTGTGCGTATGTGAAAACTTAAGAGGATCAACATGGCTGGCAGAGGAACTGGAATGCTGTTCCCTTTCCATCATACACCTCATGAATGTGCTTGTCACAGACTTCAACCTGAGGCAGGCTGGCTACAAACCCTGGGAAATGCAGCTGCCAGGCTTCAGGCCCTCAACACAGAACTGGACAGGGACAGTGCTGCAGAACCAGTCGACAGGGCAGCTCAGCAGCTGACTTGGATGTGGGAAGCCTCAAAGACGGCTCCAGCTTCAAGATGACTTCAAACAGTGGTGGTCAGCTTATGAGACCAGAGCATTCTGGGTGGAATTCCTCAGCCGTGTGTGACGCCTGCCTTGCAGAAACCATGTCTGGAGTACTAATATGGTATTAGTGGGCACATCATACAGGAGTCTCTGAAATTCCAGGAGGGTTCAGAGCGAGATTTATGACTAATGACTGAGGTGACAAATAAAGTTGAGTGCAGTGGGATTCAGTCATCTAGGATGAAAGAATGGGGAGCTGAAAATTTGGGGTGAAAGACGAAGAGAGGCTGTGAACTGAGCCGGAGGTAGGGAGGGCACTTTCGTACTTATTCTTTTCTACTGCAGCTTCTTCAACGGCTCTTCCTGCTCCTTTAAAGATGAACGTGATTGCTACTGTTCCCACATCACCACCCCACCTCAGTGCTAATGTCGGGCTTATCTGCCGTCCTAATGAATACGTTCATCCTTGTCGGCACAGTGGCTCATACACAGTGACGTTTTCCTACCTGGACGTGGACGATTCTAAACCCACATCTCCAGCCCCATCTCTTGCTCTTTTTGTCCAATTTGCCAAAACCTATACCCTAAGGTCCTACTTGCCATTCCCGCTTCCTCCCACCACATCAGTGACCACGGGTGTCAGGGTCCACCTATGCCATCCTCAGTGGCCCCTAGACCCTTCCTTCTATTCTACTTCTGGGAATCACAATCTCCATGGTAATCGGAAGAGCTGGAAACCATTAGCTATGGGGAATCGGGAAAGGGGGAGGGCTGCCGACTTCAGAGGCCTTCACACTTCTCTAACCATGATGCATTTGTAAGATGTACAATTTGGGGGGCTCAGATGGTAAAGCACTTGCCAGGCAAACCCGAGTTCAGTCCCCACCCACACAGAAGGGGACACAGTGACATATGCTTAGTAATCCCAGCTGCTGGGGAGACGGGGACAGGCAGATCCCCGAGCTCCTTAGCCAGCCCAAGCCAGTGAGGCCTCATCTCAAAAATCAGGGTGGATAGGGCCTGAGAAATGACACCAGAGGTTGACCTCTGACCTCCACATGCATGTGCACACATATGAATACACACACATGAACAAAATCTTTATGAATTAATGGTCACTCTTATTTGATGAGCTATAATTTGGTATTTCCAACTCTACCATATTCTATCCTCTATTTCATTAAAAAAATGGCTGTGCCTGACACCCACACAGTGACTCACCATGGGTCACGACCTGAAGCTTGACAAAGCAGCTTCCAGGTTTGGTGACCTGGAAGTTCCAGCTTAATCCTTCCCTTTGCTATTGACAATGGTTCTTCTGATTGGTCCCTTTTATTCCACCAGACTTCAATGTCTGATAATGCTCTTTGGTCACTATGTTATTTTAGAGGTGAGTCAGATTTCACTTTTCATACAGGACACACTTAAGCAAAAAAAAAAAAAAAAAAAAAAATCCTAACAAACCAACCACTACCCAGTTTCCAGTCAACAGTGTTTGCAATGATGGCTTTGGGTCTCAGCTAGGCATGCCAGAGTTCCTAACCGTCTCCCTCCTCCCTCTTATGTAAAGAAAATCATATCCTCCCAAAAGAAGGAAAGGAAAAGGAGGAAGTGCTACCTGAACAAAAGCCTTTGTCCGGGCTCCTTCCTGATAATGTTTAGTTTGTAGTAGTGGCGCAGGGCTCTGGACATTTTCTCATAGGTCATGTTTGTTCTGTTCTGTTTGTTCAAAGGAGGAAGGGAGAGAGAAAAAAAAAGCACAAAGACACAATGAAATGAACCGCAGAAAAGGCACCAGGCAGCTATTAAAACAAAGGCTGTGGAGTTGCTCTACATGGCCTCACCGGCCTGGGAACTCCACCTGCTCGTCTGCTGCCTGCTAGGGTCCTTCCTTCTGCTGCCTGCCCTCACAGCCACGGTGGCCAAGGGCCCCTCCTAAACTGAACTGCCCCAGATAAGTGCTAACTAACCTAGCGCAGCCCCCTGCAGCCCCCGTCTCCTTCTCTTGAGATGGTTCCCGGCTTCCTCTATCTCGGGTAGGAGACAGGTGGTCCATCCTTCGTGTCCTGGATCACATAACATTTCTTTTTTTGTTGCAATGACTTTTTCACACTTGTCTCTGGTCTGTTATTGTTGATGGGCAGTGCACAGAAGGTCCCTCAGTGACTCAAACACTTAAATGTCTGTTTACGGGTCCTCAGCATATTTGTCCACGCCCTTGGCTGGTCTTTCTCTGCTGGGAAAGGGATCAGGCTGCCTTCTTAGGAGGCCTGTGGCTCAGCTGTACCACCTCAGTATCCCCCCACAGCTTGGTCCTAGATCTCCTTCTATGTCCACTGGCCTGGCCACAGTTAGCTCCTTTTCATATCTGCACATTTGAACTGTCTTCCATACTATAAAGGACTGTTTTAGATCCCACTTCCTCTTCCTACTTTGGAAAACTGGGGGGGCAGGCTTTCTGCGCCTCTTGCTCGTAAAGGGGGTATTTTATAATCACAACATATTTTCCATGCAGAAATGGCCTTTTGTGAGAAGGGGAGTTTCCAACTGATGGGGACAGAAGTGACACTTCCCAAAGGTCCCTTGTGAGTCATACAGCTCTCACTACTTCCCTATTCCCCATAAGGACAACAGGGTGGCAGGTCCAGGTCAAGGGGAGTGGCGGGGGCAGGGGTGGGGGGGGGCAGGGGCGGGGCGGCACTTACAATCAGTCTACGGAACTGAGCTCTGAGTTAATGGGCCCCAGACAGAGGTAACACATGGAAAAAAAGCATCTTTAATCATTTCCTTCCTTCACAACTACCTAATTGTTCGTCCAGGGAGGAACAAACCAAATAATCACGGGCAGACTTGGGAGGGAGGCAAAAAGACAACCATCCTCCAACTCAAGGATGAAGACTACTTTACAGCAGCTTTCCCAACCAATATGTGGCCTTTTTACCTTATGGTTGCCCCACAGGCGAGCCAATCCATTGGGATCCACTATCCGGAATATTTTGGATTCCTTGTCTTCCCATCTGATGAAGTTTTCGTACCGACTGTCAGAGAGCAACTGATAGACGTAATCCCAAAGCAGTCTGCAGTCTACGGAGGAAAAGCGAGAGCGCCCTTGAGAAGGATTTCTGTCCAGGCAGTCACAAGACCCAGAAACAGCGTTTGCAATCCCAGCTTGGGCCTGGATGTGACTGACTGTCTTATTTCCTCATTTCACAGATGAAATGGGTCCAGAGAGAGCCTGTGAGATCCTGCTGACCTCTGACCCAGGGAGGCTCGGCGCTGACCGAGGCCATGACCTCTACAAGAGGACCGAGGAGGAGGAGGAGGAGGAGGAAGAGGAGGAGGAGGAGGAGGAGGAGGAGGAGGAGGAGGAGGAGGAAAAGACTTTTTCAAAGCCATGACAAAGCCTGAGGCTGAAGCAGCCCGTCTGAAGGATGAGGCACCAAGGTACACCTGCAAATGAACAGACAGGCTTTGACAGCGGGCTCCAGAACAGTTAGGACACACGGCGGGAAGAGTCTGTGTGTGTGCCGTCCGTCTGTGGGGGCTTCCTCAATAGCTCTCCATCTTACTACCTTTTAAACTTTTCTGTGTGAGTGTGTGTGGTGTATGGGCCTATGTGTACACCTAGGAAGCCAGAGTGTGTGGCACACCTGTACATACTAGGAAGCAAGGAGACACTGGGTTCTTCCCCTGTCGTTATCCGCCTTCCAGTCTTGAGCCAGGGCCTCATGGAACCTGGAGCTCACCATTTTGGTTAGGTTGGCTGGCCAGCAAGCTCGAAGGGTCCATCAGTGTCCACCACCCTCCCCCAGTTCTGGGGTCACCGCCATGCATTGCTATGCCGGACTTTTACATGGTGCTAGGGATTCTAACTCAGGTCTTCTTGTTTGCGGAGCAAACACTTACCCACGGAGCTCCCTCTCCAGCCCCTTCATCCACTTTTTATCTACTTATTTATTTTTTGAGACAAGGTCTCTCACTGAACAGGAATCTAGACTGGCTGGTCCTCGAACTCCGATCCTCCTGTCTCAGTCTCCCCAGGGCTGGGTTTACAGATATGCACTGCCGTATCTGGCTTCTAATGCGAGTGCTGGGGGGGTCACTATCCGGTCTCCATGCTTATATGGCGGACATTTTACCGACTGACCCATTTCCTGAGACCAGAAAGAAACGCTTGAGGTTTTAATGAGAACAATACGATAAAAAGTTAAAAGATTAGAGTTTAAAGATTATTCTGTAGTTGGCAGGAGATGCTAAATGGATGGAGGAAGACAGGCTACAAAGAAAGCAATACATGAAAAACGATGGGAAATTAAAAACCATGCGGCTTGGTGACGTTGGCTGTGGGGACTGTGGCTAGCATTTTAAAAAGAAATACAGATATTCTCATTAGACCATCTTTTGGTCGTCTTTCAAGTTGCTTTATCATAATGGAATCATGGTGGAAAGGAACTTGGTGCAAGAAAATCATTTCTCATGTGCAGAACTGATATCCGATTATGTGGCCAGGCAGCAAACATCCATCAGATGATTTGAGTGTGGCTCTGCACTGTGCTCAGCCCAGGGTCTTGGCTGTGGAGCCCTGGCTTTCTGGGTCTATGCTGTAAAGGTACCTGGTCCACTCTCCAGCTCAGCCCAATAGGTTAAGTACAGACAGTTGTGCATTTCCTGGGTACTGCTGATGTTGGATTGGCCCCGGCCTAAGAGTTGAGGTGCCTTTTCTAGTTGCTTACTGCATGGTTCCAGAGGGTTAACCAGACGGCTGGTAACAGAAGGCCAATGACTGAATGTATACATTATTTATTTATATGTATGTGTATACACTTGTATGAGTAAATGTGCAACACATGCATGCGGGATCCCACGGAAGCCAGAAGAGGGCACTGGATCCCCTAGAAAAGGAATTACAGATTGCTGTGAGCTGCCATGTGGGTGCTGGGAACCGAACCTGGGGTCTTTGCAAGAAGAGCAAGTGCTCCTAACCAGCCTTCCAGCCCCTATTAGTGCCTTTATAAAAGTTATCTATAAAAGATCCCTAACATATCTACCTGTGAGGACACAGACACAGCAAGAAGACGCTATCTATGGAAGAGAAAGAATACTCATCAGCAGGCCTCAGATCTGCTGGTGCTCTGCCCTTCAGCCCGGCAGCCTCTAGGAGTCTGTGAGACATTTCTTTTCTCCATCCTTTTCCTCACTCTTCTCCGTTATTTCCTGCTTTTTTGGAGATAGAGTTTCAGTACATAGCCCGGGCTGGCCTCAAACTTGTCGTAACCTTCCTATCTTAACCCTCCAATGCTGACCTGACAGAAGTGCGGCTCCTCATTTACCTAATTCCTACTCTCTGTTTCCGCAGCCAGAACAGACAAAGACCAGAACAGAGCTGTGGCTCCCTTGTCCAGGTTTGGTACCACAAATGGTAAATGGCAAGCACATTTGAGTTTTCTCTAGTCTCACCTAACTGGAAAACATCTCCTTAAACCAAGCACTTTCACATAAAATGCCATGCAGTCAGGAGAAGCCCAGGTGTGCACACAAACCCCGTTCTGCACGCCTGAGTGGCAACAGTCGTGTGCACACGCACATAAGTGCAAGCACATGTGCATGTGGAGGTGAGATATCAATGTTGCATTTTCAATTGCTACCCACTGTATGTTTTGAGACATGGTCTTTCATTAGTAGACTGACCGGCCAGTACGTTCCAGAATCCTCCTGCCTTCACTTACCCAGCAACAGGATTACAGGTGTGTACCTCCAAGCCTGGATCTAGTGTGTTCACCTTAATAAGGTTGACATAAGGCAACAACTACAGTCCTCTGGGCTCCAGGCCTCCTGCAGAGTTCAAACGCAGAGTGGACAGCTCTCCTGACCTCCATCCCACTGCACTTTCTCGTTTTGCTACCATGGCACATTCCTGGTATCACACAACTTATACAACTATACAGCGTCGCTCGGATTACTCCTTCAGTTAAAGGCTTACCCAGCCCTGGGGTTTCACGCCAGTCTTTTCAGAGGCATCAAACTGGGTTCCAGGATGTGACTGCATGATGTGCCCAGTGGATGGCAAACGCAGGGCAGGGCTTGCCAGAGAACAGACTTGACTTGTAAGCTTCAAGAACATTTGTATATTGCAACTTCTTTTCCCTTTCATGAATTTGAAAGTAACCCCAAACAAGCTTCCAATTGATCACTTTAAATGACATTTAATCCAGCAAAGCCAACATTAGCTGCGTAATAAAAACGTTGACATTCAAGACACACTGAATTACTCAGCCACTAACGGAAACAGCAAGGGGAATTTCATGGCATAAAGCAGCTGCTTCAAGCTCAGAGTGTAAGTGGCTTTTTAACACTATTGATTTCTGTTTCTTTAAAAAAAATTACGCCTCGATGATAAAAATAACTGTCTGACCACACAGCCATGTCCTCTCTTATTTACTACCGAAGCATAAGCTATCTGTATTATTTTCCTTTTCAACATTTCTTAAGTAAAAGGCACATCCTTTTGTTCTCTAGATCTCCTGGATACTATTATCAGAGACCACCTGGGATTTCCTAGGTTTGTCTGACTCCATGTTTGTACAGAAGCCCTTGGATCAACAGTAAAAATGGTGTAGTATGATAAATAAAATGCACTAAATTCTAAAAACAGAAGTCCATCCTTCTATATACCGAACATGCATGTATGTTATTTTTCAAACAAAGTTATTTATTAATTTTAAGTGTGTTTCTCTTAAAGAGATGATGGTGAGTGTTAACTGTCAGCTTGAAAAAATATGGAATCACTTGGTAGATGGGCCTCTGGGCATGTGTATGAGGATTATCTTGATTGAGTTAACTGAGATGGGAAGACCTGCCCACTGTGGGTGGTGCTATTCCCTGAGTGGGCTCCTAGAGGGAGAGAGCTGAGCAGCAAAATGCTTTCCTTCCCCTCTGCTTTCTGATCGTAGATGTTGATGCAACCAGCTGCTTTGAGCTCCCACAGCCTTCATTTCCCCACCACCATGTGCTGTACCTTGAGCTGTGAGCCAGAACAAACCCTTTCTCTTTCCAAAATGCTTTTGTCAGAGTATTTTTTTCAGAGCAAAGGGAAAAGAAATTCACACAAGGGTCTTTTTTCCATATAAGGACATCTGGGTATTTTAAAGAAATGTCCATCAGTTGGATCATCTCTTCTCTAAGAGGAAGTTTATGGAATGGATTATCTCAGATAAAGCTGCTTTCCAACTGCAGGAACAGTTCCCTGTTTCCTGATGGGTGAGGTACCCGGCTATCCGCCTCTAAGAAGCATTGTAAAAATCCCTTCCTGTGGTTAGGGAGAAATATTTTTACTCCCACGTCTGTCTCTTACTAGACTTATTGTATGAACTCACAGAACAGAGACTGTAAAAAGATGGGCAATTCACACATAACCAACATGGCTTCTAAAAAAATAAAATAAAATCCCTGTTAGATAAAAACCAATGTTTAAAAATTTTGAGTAGGCAGGTCAAATTATAGACAAAGGGAATGTAATGATGGAGAATAATCTAACTTACCAGAAAGTTTCTAAGAAGGTTATTTTATGTTGTTTTACTGGCTCAAATATAATTTTAAGTGACAGTCTATGAACCCTGCCAGTACCACGGATTTAAGCATATATTACCCATGGGACAAAGCTGAGTGTCCCTAGTTAAGTTTCAAAAACTGATGATCTCACAACTGCTAAGTTTACTAAAAGTTCAGCACCAGAGCAGGTACAGTAAGATAAAATAAAATAAGTGACAGCTGACTTGTGACAGCCACTGTTCTGAGCTGCGGGGTGATTTTTCCATTCTAGGGGGAGTCTGACAAAGTCTGGAGACACTTCCAGTTGTTACAAGTGGGCTGGATGGAGGTGCTTCGGGCGAAGGCTGCACAGGACATGTTCCCACGACAAAGCATTCTTTGGCCTCAATATCAAGAGTATGGAAGTTGGGGTGCTCTGCTTACAGGAACACAGGTTCAGGGCATTAAGGGGACCATCATCTGCCATCCAGGTACTCTTTCCTCCTCCGTCAGCTATCGCCCATTAGTAGAGTCTAGAGACCCAGCACTGTCAACCG